GGCTCTAGGGGGCATTGGTCTTTTTTCCGGCAGTTACATTCTTTGTCTAGTGTTTGTGGTGAATTTTGTGACTGGTTGTAATCTGATAGTAGCTTTTTGTTGTGTGACGCGATGATTGTTTTTACGTTAGGCATGCAGGAGTAGCTTATCCTTAGTGTGTGGCGATTGAAGATCTTGTGTATTGGATGGTTTTTCGGGAAGCATCTGTCAACAATATTTAATAACTATATATATATATATACATACATACATACCTATTACATTTTTGAAGAGTTATTTTGTTTTAAGTTGCTATAATGTTTTTAGGTTTTACAAGCACCACATCTTCGCTTATGGTGCCATAGATTTTTCAGTGGTGCGGCGAGTCAGGGACTAACTGTGGCAAGTTAATGATTCATTTTGATAACTAGTGCTTGATCAAATGTTGACATTGGGAGATTTTAAGCATTCTTTTAGGTTAAAGCAGTTCGTCAGATATCCCCATTCGAGAACGTCTCATTAGGGTGATAGTCGCGATTGTTTTAATTTCTGAGGGTTGTTTTTAAATAAAATTGAAAGAAATCGAGAAGAAAAGGAGCTGCGCCTTACACTCAACTCACCCTTTAAATCTTTAATGAAAAAAATTTTTTTTTTTTTTTTATCTTCGCTACTTTCATTTTGCCCAGGCTAATTCAGCCTTCAGTCGTTAATTAAGCAAGACCAACAAATTGTTCAACGAACATAGTTAATATTTTCTTCCCCGAGTGTGAGTAGGTCATCACGTATTCTTCAAGTCAGATCATCGAGAACCCACGCAATACTTGACAAAATACATGCGTTTAACAATAAAAAAATTGCGATAAAACATTTCTTAAAATCATTTTAAGATTAAAAAATTGCTAAAAGGAAAAAAAGATTAACTACTGCTTTGATATTAAAGCGACTCAAAACACTCTTTTCGCGTCTGTACCTCGACTATAAACAAACACGATAAAGAAAAAAAATGCTTTTCAGTACAGAGAGACAGCTGTTCTAGTTTGCCCCTTTTCCTTCGTTTACAATAACTTGTTTGCTTGATGCAATGAGAATTGAAAAAAAGTTTGATTGATTCATGTTTTGTATCACTAATGTATTACCAGAAACTCAGAGAATTTCAAATTTTTGTAGCACAATATTGAGACAAATTTGACAAACTGCGTGCCAATGAAATATATTTTTTCTCTGCGCACTTAATATTAGAGGGCTTGTTATTTGAGAATTAACAACTGTCTTCGATCAAGCTTGATGTCAACACCCAGATGTTCCCAAGACTAAACTTTCGTACGCGAAACTTTGTTTTTATATTCGGGGTAAGTCCTCGCTATATGTGAAATTAATAGCTAGAGGTAGTGAGCTTTTGTACAGGCATAACGAATTTATTCATATTTTTCTGAGCCATCTTCAACATCTGATGCATTACAATAATAATTTTTGTTTGTTTTTCAAAGCATAAGAAGGGAATAGAAGCTGTGGATAAGATCTGACTATGGAATCAGAGAATAATATTTTTGTTGCGTGAAAATATCTGTTCTTACGTAAGTGTGTTCAAATACTCGACACTGAATTCGTCCTGAAATTCGTCCTGATCGTTTACAAATTGACAAAAAGAGTAAAATATAAAATCAAAGATTTTATATCAGCGAAATCTCATATATCCGTTCACGGAAACCCTGTCCAAAAACTATCATTCGTTAACTACCATCTGCGCGCAAGAAATGCTGCATCGATTGAAAAAAAGTTAAACTGCTGGAGAGATCTCACATTTATACTTTCCCCCGAGGTTGTTCGTCACTTTTTATTCACATTTCGATACCATGTACTATAGATATATTATAACACAAGGCATTTCTAAACAAACTTAATCTGTTTTTCTATTTTTTTTTTGGTCAAAATTGGAAATCACTTACACCAATCTGTACTCCACTCAGATAAACCATTAGAATGTTTCCTTCTAAAAGCAGTTTTGAAAGGAAGTATTCTGGTAGAGGGAATAAAAGTTTTGCTGCCCCCAAATTTTTCTCATCTAAAATTGTTGATATCACCATCAAAGCAACTTTGTAATGGAGTTTTTCTCTTTTAGAAAACTCTTGAGAAATTAAATAAAGAATATTCACCCCCCTGGGTGGTAAATTATCGCTAAAATTAACTCCAAATTTGACGCGATATCGGTTTCTGAAAATTAAAGCATTTGTTAGTATTTTCTATTGTACTATGATATATCAGAAATCACGAAAATAAAAATCTTCTATTTCTTTTTCACCAATATTATAAAAAAAATATTGTAAATAGAAGCACATTATTTGAAGGCTGTCTGAAAACCTATGCCATTTATGAAGAAAACCACTTTTGGTTGAGATGTCGAGCTGATAAGCTGAATGTTTTAATCGTGCATCATGATGAATTGGGTAACTTCGAATATCCTTTTCAGTACTAATTTAGACAGCCCGCAGGCTTTCCGGCGATTTGATATAACAAAGGATATTATCTAAAAAACCCATCAGAAGCTGAAATAGAGTGAACCACACTAATCCACAGCAATTGATTTGCAATAGCAACAAACATTAAAAATTTAAGCGTGCGTTAAGGTAGTACTCTATGACTGTGGAACCGCCTTAGTTCATTGTCAAAAGAACTATCTTGTAAAAAATAAACAAGCCCCTTAAAGATTACGCTGCCTACTAAAGAGGGTAGCTTAGCAAAGTATATTATCTCCCATTTAGAAAACCAAAACATGAAGTTGTAAAAAAAAAATAAAAAAAAATAAGAAATCTTGCCCTAAACACAAAATTTTCATAGTCGCCAGTTTCCCCCAGAAAATGGGACAAGATTGTTAATAAACGTAGCTATTACTGCATAGCTCTAAAGATAAGCCACCCTCAGCAATTAAAAAAAAAAAAAAAACGTGTAGAACTATAACAGAATATCTGAAAAACAATGGGTCAAATTACGCCCACTGAAGTAATGCATCCAGATGTGCCCAATCTATTCAATGAACAGAGCATAGTAGAAAATTTAAAAGTGATCGCCGAGACATTTATCAATCACAATTTCTGAGCAAACACCGGAGAAACATACGAGAAACACCCGCCATGAATCGAACAACAGCAATATTTGGTATTCTCCTCATATTTGTTGTGATGCATGAACTGAAAGGCTTCACCGCTGGTATTGGCAATGCAGGACTCGGAAAACGTGACTACGTTTCGAAGGTACGACAAAGTGTTTTGAAAACATGATCTCTTGAGTTGTCTTTGAGCGTTCAAATGAAATTCTCAAGAATTAGCACTGTAGTGGTAAAAACTACTATTTGCTCAGCCAATTTCATTACTGAAATGCATAATCCTTAACCGATGCTAAATGAAGACTCTAAAATTGCGTGTCTTTGATTAAAGACGAAATGTGACTTTTTTAAATATGATATACGCAGGTTTATCAAAATGCGTACATGCGAATGTATCGATAAGATTTTGTGCTAAAGCTCCATACAGTTTTTTTTTGCATGCAGTCAGACGACCGACTGCAAGAAAAGGCGAATAAGCCAGCTAGATAACTAAGTTTTAAATCTATGCCATGGGGAAACAGACCATTGATAATTACCTAAGCACAATATCAAATGAGAACATACCATTAAATTTAGTAAGGTATATGTATTTGAATTAAAAAAATGGTACCGAAACAAGTACACAAATTGAGTTGAATTAGGTAGTGAATTCATAAATAGTTTTTCATACAGAAAGAAATGAATATTTTGGCTTGATGTTTTCAATGATTATAAACAGAAGAGGTTTAAAAGTTATGGAGAACGTTTTAAATCGTGCAAATGCCCTTCGAAATACATTCAAATGAACTTTGGCTGTACTCTCTAGATGTATGACCTCTCCCAAAAAATTCCTTTTTTTGAATTATTGGCGTTTTGTTTAAAAGAATCTCTCACTTAGCTGGGAACTCACTCTTCAGTCACTTTTTTCATAAAGAAGGTTGTGTTAGTTTTGCAAACTTAATTAAAGTTGTGAGACAAACATAAACAGTTCCACAAGGAAAAAAAATAATGCCCTCGGTAGGTTACTTTTATGATAGCGATACGGTCAATAAAACAATTAGTGATTTTTGAAAAGTACGATACGCAATGGATTTATATCTTCTTTTACTAATTATTTCGATAGTTAAATGCATAGTCAGTGGCGGTTTAGTTGATACAGCTGTCTTCTCCCAATTTAGTAGTAAGACTTATTGGCGCGCGTTCACTTCTCTTTTCTTAAAAACAAAAAATACGGAACATGCATGTTATGAGTCCTTGTAAAGTAAGGAGCGGTAAAACAAAGCAACAAAAGGAAAAGTTGAAACGATATAAGAGAACTTTGAGAGTTAATCTCTACAAATCTTTATGGAGAGTTAATTATTTGTCTTCGAATCACTTTCTCAATTTTATTTTTTTGCTTTGGTGTAGGCTCGCAGAGAACTACAGATGGTCTGCCATTACGTAAGAAGCATAGCCATTCACAAGAGGTCTGGGGAAAGAGAGCATCAAACGCCGCTCCAAATAAGGGAGATTTGTGCTCTGTGACGTCACCGACGAAAGTGTTTGGCAATTTCAGATCATGTACATTATAAATGGATCAAAGCGCTCCTTTTTTTTTAGAGTTGATTTGTGTAAAATAAAGCAAAAAGACTGTTAAGTTTCATGATAAAGTTCTCATCTCTTTTCTTTTGAGAAAAAGATTTGCAATTTGTCATTTGGTTTTCAAAATTGAGTTAATTCGAGGTCAAAACTCCGCCGCCCGAATGCGCACTTATTCAGATCACGCGTCGTATTATTTTGAATCAATCTGCATTCCAATCATTTCCATTACCACTTATTTACTTCCCTTTTGAAATGTGTGATGGTTGCAGTCGTTAGGAACCTGGGGCACAGTTTTTCCCAATACGGACCAACCTAAGCTGGTGAATAACATTTTTATCGTTTTTTAACTGTTAAAGGAAACGGAGGATTTAGAGGTGTAATAACAAAAAAATGCTCGATAAAATGACTACTTTTGAGCGAGTAAATAATAGAGAAAACAGAGCTAATACATATAAAATAGAGGCTACACTGGAAAATGTTTATTTGCCTTGTGACAAAGGTGCTTTAATGGCTTCCAACCAAGCTTTGAAACAACTGTTAAAAAGTATCTGTCACGATGTGACGCCTGTCAATTAGGGAGCGCGTAAGAAAGAAAAGCACATTTTCCCTTTTGAAAAAAAAAAACAAAAAAATACAAGGACAACAACAACGACAACAACGGTACTGTTTTGTTTTGGAAAACAAACCCGAGTTTATTTAGTGTCACGACAATTTTTTCTTCAAAAATAGTCAGTTATATTACGTAAAGCATTTTTCACTTGCATCGACGATTAATCTGCAAATACAGTCCGACCTCTATTAAGCGGCCATCTATTAAGCGGCCACCCTCCATTGTGCGGCCACTTTCTAAAGTCCCGATTTATTTCTCAGTTAACTGCTGTATCGGATACCTCTTTTCAACGGCCACCTCTATTAAGCGGCCGCGATCACCGTTTTTGTAGTCACAAGTGTACTATTTACGTGGTTTTTTACCTCCAGTAAGCGGCCAGTAAATTATCTTTCCAAGCGAAACGGTGACAGATGTTATAAGGTGATAACTGATAACAAGAAGAAAACGAGAACTGCAATATAATCTCCACCATAACAAGTCACAAGCCACATACACGTGCAAACTTTTCACATCCGGCGCTATACAAGCATGACAATAGCTAACAATAGATAGAGCCGAACCACTGTTTTGTTACAACCAAAATCTGTACAGGAAAACTTTATTACTACTGCACTGGTAATCTACAAAACTCCATGCTCCTCAAGTTTTGATTTTAACCACTGAATTGAAAACTCGTTTCCTGTTAAGCAGTACTCACATGGAATTTCTAAACCATAGCCGGCCCCTCTGTTAACGCGTTTGCCTTTTACAACAGCTCGTCCGATGTTTGTTGGCCTCTTGAGAAACTTTGTAAGCCATAGGGCTATAAGCCCTACGTGCCCTCTGTTTTAGAGCTAGAACTATGCATGGGCTGGAAATGCACTTGATGTTTTGTTACAATGAATTTTGGATTTATCTTCATATGTGTTCACTATTTAAAAGCATTTTGCTATAGAGTCAATAAAATCATGTTTTCTGCTATTCCTATCCAATTAAAATTGTACCTCTATTAAGCGGCCAACCTCTATTAAGCGTCCACTTTTCTATTAAGTGGGATGGCCGCTTAATAGAGGTCAGACTGTAATGAGAAGGAAAGCTATTATGAGTAAATTTAGATGTATGTGTTGAAGTTATGAGAGTTCGCTCGATTTGTCTGCTCAGTGGCGTGAGTAAATCTGGTCTTTCCTCCAGCAAAAAAAAAAAACTTTCGTGGAATGAGACACTAACTACACACAAGGGGATTTAACATTGCTTTTTGGTATTGAATTACTTCGTTTTCTGTTGTGTAATATACGGTAAAAATGGGGAAGTCTGACAAATTGAACTCACAAAGAGGGAAATATAATTACAAAGAATCGAGAGGATTGACACAAATTGTAAAAAAGACAGAAAAACACATAGGAGACAAAGATAAACCAAAAAGGAATAAGGATTGCCAAGGATGGACGAGACTGAAACAGATTGTAAATGACTACAAAACTATGAGTAGTTTAATATTAGTTTGATAAGATAGAAAAACACAGAGGAGACAATAATATACCAATAACGAATAAATATGGCTTACGATGGAGAAGATAAATTCAGATTGCGAATGACTACAAAAGATCAGTTTGGTATGATAGAAAAATACACAGGAGGATTAAGCAAGACTGAAAATGACCATACAGAATATTAAGGTTGATAAGATAAAAGTTGACGAAAGAGAGGCAGTAATAACTGAAAAAGGAACCAGTATGGTTTGGGGTGGAGCAGATTGAAAAGATTGTGAACAAAGAACTTAAAAAAAATATAGGCTAAAAACCCTGTATTGGTTCGCTCAGGTAGAGCGCCGTGCTACCGTGCGAGAGGTCGAGGGTTCAAAATTGGTTCAAATTGGTCCAACACTCAAGGTCTTAAATTAATCGAACGTGGTGCCTTGCTATTATTAAAGCAAATAATTAGACGTTCTAGTCTTCTCGGATAAGAAAGATAAACGGAGAGTTTTTTTTATATAGAAATTGATTTTCAAAACATTTACCGTGGTCAGTTTAGATGGTAACCTTGAAAGATATCGATAAACAACACATTTTTTGGAAAATCACCTTATAACATACATACGACATCTACTAAACAAGAGGTAAAGATTAACAAACCTATTTGCTCAATTGCAAGTTTGTTGTCTTCATAACAGATTCAAAGTAGAGCAAGTGAGATGTGTTTGTTTTTCAACGAGATCACGCTTCACTGTTATAAGGGCCTTTTGGTCAGAAGTTGACATTTGAATCTTCTTGATATGGTGAGCAGAAAATCTTTCCTCGAAATTGATCGAATAAATTTCTAAAATGATCCTGTGTTTATTGCACGGTTTTTATCGAAAGTATAAATTTTATGGTGTCTTTTTTTTCTTCTAGATGAAGTAGGCTGCTTACAAAAATTCGAAAACATATCCTTTAAGAATATGATTTAAAATCTTCATGGTGGATGTAATTAAAATTAGTGATAAATTGGTCTTTTATGGTAGATAAAATGGAGGAACGAGCGTTTAATACACGAATTTAAAGATTGGATAAGTTTACTTTTAACTTTTGTTCTTAGTTTTCATAGCCAGTCATAGCTCGATGTCATTTTAGAGTAGCATCCTGTGCGGAAAACCGTCTCAATTCTCCTTGTTTTAAACTTCAAGACAAACGATGTGTTTTCTTGGTCCGGAAACCCGTATTCCCCAGACTAAAATGCTCTTTCGAGTTGAATACCGTTTTTTCAATACTAGAACAATTATGCAATCAATTCATCGGTAACTGGAGATTCAAAAATTAAAAGTTACCTTGCTGTTTTGAAAATCTTTGATAATGATATGAAGACCACAAGGACTCGTTAGAGGTAATGAAACGATTGAACTCTCATTAGGAACAAAGAATTGGAAAAAGTTTTAGAATTATGCGAACTCTACCTAGTTGATAAAGCTACTGTCCTGCAGTTTTAACACACCTGTTTTAAAGTAGAAGACAATAAATTGAATATTCTAATCGATTTTATTTTTAAAATGTGCAAAAATGGAGCAGCTCAGGGGCCGATTAGTATATCGTATTTGTTTCTACTAGGTGATTGTGTTGTTCAGACTGAAAATAAATCGACTTCCCGCGATAAGTGAAGCCCTTTTTGTGTCAAAGGCGGGGTTGAATTCGTGTCATTATCTTTGCCGCTTCTTAACAAGTCCGTAAGGATTATCTCGGCTCATTTAAATACGATCTTTGATCGTTCCGATAGTTAAGAATTAATTTTTGAAATCGTAAAGCTTGAAAGACTATTTTTAAGATGAAAAAATCGTGTTCAAAATATTAATGAGCCGCAGAGATTTTTCGAAAAAAAAACTTAATGATGATTACGACGAAGCCGCAACTACAGAGAATATAAACTTGAAGCTACAGCGTCGGTAAAGCGGACTGGACGCCTTTTTAAAAACAATTTTCTGTGTTTTCTTTTTAGACTCGGACACAATGGAAACTCAAATGTATTTTTGAAATCGTGAAATCATGGTAAATACAGTTTTTAGTTCAGAATAGGTTTTTTTTGTAAAAAAAACAAAACAAAACAAAAATCATTGCTGTGGTAAGGTGCATCATCAGAGTAATAGCACCTTTGCGTAATACGATGACTTTCTTTTGAAGTAAATATTCATGTGTGAGCTTTTAAATCTAGACTAAAACAAAATAATATTTGAAATGTCGGTAACGCATCTTGATTGCTTAATGGAAAGTATTTCATAGTTATAAAAAGCTGTTAAAAAACAATAGCTGATCTAAAAAACGGCGTTTTACGAAAGAGGTAATACACGTAGCTTGTTTATAACTTTTGAGAGAAAGTTAGGAGTTAAAAGAGTTACAAGTTAGTTCCGGCTGAAAACTAATCGTCACCAAAGCAGAAAGTTTAAGAATTTTTTGAAAAATTATTAGATGGTACCGGTAACGCTGAGAAAAAATCTAAAGCGAGCGGATGGTCATTTAAGTGTAATTATTGAATGTCGGCGAGGGACGCCACTGCCTACTAGAAAGTACTGTAGGTCTAAGAATTAAAAAAACAAAAAAAAAAAAAAAAAACAAAGAAAACTTAAATCGACTTCGAAAGAGGAGTTTTACAAAAGAGAACTATCGCAAAATATATTTCTGTATGATTAAAGCGCACTGAAAATAGGTAATACATGGTCCCGGAATTGGAAATTATGCTAGGGCCAAGTATCTCATATGAAATGATTTTTCGCAGTAGATATCATATCTAAAAGGTGCAACCGGAGTAGATTTTAAGTTTTCCGGAGTGAAACAAAGGCTAGTGGGCAAATGTTTGCCTTTGCAATCATCTCAGTGTACAAATATTCCCTCGGAATCATTACAACTATTCGTAATTTCCGACGACTTGGACATTCCGCGCAAACCTTTGCGGCACTTCTTAAACATTTTGTAATTATTGCTCGCATATTAAACGCGTCGTGTCTTCTTGAGCCACTTATGCAAGGCCGGCATTATGTTCGGAAGTGATTTGTACTTCCAAATTGTCGCAAGAATTAAGAAAGCTCACGGAAATGGACAGATGAGGCACGGCTAATGGTTGCAATTGAGTTTTGTCCTTCCTTTCTTTAGCCAGGAAGGAATAATTGTGGGTAAACAGTTTTGAACTCTATTGAATTCAGTGCCAATTTTCTTGGCATGCGGCTATAAAAGAAGGCGACAAACCTAGATTAACTACAATACTCTACAACAAACTCAGATCGAATCTGCAGCTGAGTCCAACTGACTGACTAACCCTTCCTTACTTGTAGTAATCATGAGGATAGCAATGATGATCTTTGGCCTGGTTTTCACATTGGCCTTGGTTTCACAGACCGAGTGTTTCACGGCTGGAATCGGAAATGTAGGAAAGAGACAACTTAACAAGGTGGGTAACTCATTTTTGCGATGATCTAAAAAAACTTTTGCTATTCTCTCGACGCAAAATTAAAAATAATTTCAAGTTAACTGTATTTCGAATCTGGGATCACCCTATCTTCGTGTTTTTAGAAGCCGTCCGTTGGAAGTGTTTCACTAAGACTTCTTATTTTTTTCGTCAAAGTAATGTTATAAGCAGCTGCCAAATAAAATTTCAAAATGACTGCATAGAAATTTCCATTTATGAAAGTTTTAAAATTAGATAAATTTGAAATTTTCTCAGTCATTTTCTCTGAAAGATTTGTACATTTACTAGTTTTTTTTTTATTAGTTTTTACTCCGTAATTTAATAGTATTTTGGATTACTTGTTTGAGCTCTCATGACTGAAAAGGTTGAAGCGAACGAAATCATTCTGCTGACAGTAGGCGATAATTTAAAATGGCGAAATATCAAGAATCGAAAAGACAAAAAAAATCACTGCTATTTAGGATGCATACGATGTTGGTGTTTTTCAATATTTCAATTCGGTTCAGTGTATCAGTAAATACCCATTGTTCATTCGCTTCCAAAAATTGGTCAAAAAAAAAGGGCTTTTAAAGAATTCAAAATCTCTGTAGAAAATATCATAGAATTCATATAACCTTCCTTGGAAAAAAGACAAACTTAATTTTTTGTTAGAAATAATATTTTCAGCTATGATATTAGCCAAGTTTATTCCAACAAGCAATAAAGTACTTTTAAATCATTTTTAATTTCACTTTGATTGCATTTGGAGTATTCCCGAAAAGAGAGAATAACGTTATCCAATTCTAAATCATAGATCATTTAAATTTTTTTTACCTGCTGAGATATAGATTTCTAGTTCAGTTTTTTTTTTAAATTTTTGGCAATTCCTGGCAAACAGAGTTCAACTAAATATTAAGCTGTAGATTCTATTTTAAAATGATAAGGGTATCCAAACATGGTGTATTGTAGTAAAATCGTCATATCTATCACAGAAGCTTTCCATGCTTATAGACTTCAGTCTTAACTACATTGCTGGCTGAAGACCCTACCCATTATATTTACATGCGAAAGATAGACAAGATTACCTGGCTATTCTCGTAAGAAAATGCAAGATTCCTTCAAGGAATCATTCTCGCACGGGAAATTGAACCTTGGGTGGCTTTTTTGTTTCCATAAGAACAACTAAAAGGTATTTTTTGACAGAAACTAGACTTTTCTAAGCATATGTTAGGTTGAAACGGAAAAAAAAAAAACTTAGTCAAGCTATCACTTAAAGATTTCCCTAGTCGAAAACATTATGAGTTCTCCTCAAATGACAATTTTTTTGGCTCTGATTGTATGACTTACGCATGAACGAGTATTGTTCCTCCATTTATTTAAACGCCTACGTACGTTACGCGCTAAGTATACTGGGATCTTAAATGTTACTTTCTTTTCTTCGCGTGTCAAAGGCATACCAGTCGTTAAACCGCATTTGCAGGGAAACACAAGCCATCTGTGTAGAAGCCGCAAAGGATATCTCACGGAGATCTAAGACTGGGGAACGCTCTCGCGACACAGGGCTAAATATGGATTGATAAACAGCGAAGAATAACGTGAAAAACTAGAACCCAATGAAGACAGCCTGAAAAGTATCAAACGCTTAAAATTTATCACAGGTCCCCTTTCCTGTCACGGAGAGTGGTTTCATTTGCGTATAAACACTTTCAATGCACATTTCGAATAATTCATTTTTGTGATGCAAATGTATAAATGAGAAAAGGTATAAATTATAAATGTTAAAAAATAAAGTGCATACTTCAAAAAGTGTCTTGGTGGAGTTTCTAATTTGGGTGTTAAAGTGTCTTTTCTCTCAAAAGTCGCAGGAGGATTATCATCTCGTTTTCACAGTTGACATTTCGTTCATATTCCAGAGTCCGAATCAGCTTTGACCAAAGTCGCAGTATTTAACGACTATCACACTAAGTATGGAAAATTGCAAACCTTTCTTGAGCAGAATGCTCAGATTTCGCAACATGAACTACGTAGAGTGTACAACAGAAAAAAAAAAAAACTTTGCTGCAATATTTTGCTATAACACCAAAAGAAATCAAGGCATGAACATTTCTGATACATCTGTCCCGCATACTCATGCCTCGGCTTAAATGAATATTCAGTACAAAATCTAAGTAAAGAAATACTTCCATAAATTACTTCGAAATTCGCGTAAAGCGAGCGCTTTGTTTTGTGATTTGCAAACGGAGATGGAGGTAAATTGAAGCACACTTAATGAGGTTTAGAAAAGAATTCTTAGACTGCAACTGGATCACCTCCGCTAAAATGAGACAGAGTTTTCAAATGTTTCGGTAAAGATTCTCCTTGGAATAACAGTAGAACATGTTGCGTAATTTAAGGGAACGGGAAAAAGTACGTTCCATTTCCTTAACTACGGAAGTTGTACCTCTCCCTGCAAGAAAGGATGAACACCACTGTTTTTTATCCTGAAAAAAAGAAAATTGATTTTAAGGGTTGGAATTGCGAATTCACAAATGAGACCGGTGGAAGAAACTTTCAAAGGCTCCAGAGAATATCAATTCCTGATTTCAAACAGTTTTGCTCAAATAATCAAGAGAGGCTGTCATTGCGGAGCCGAGTCATCCATAAGTGTCGAGTAAAGGCAACATTTCTCTCGTACATGTACACTTGTAACTGAGTGAAGAAGGCCATCTTTGTGGCCTTCTTCTCCACTCGAACACGAAATATACTTAGTTTAAAGGGCCTGTAAACCCTAAAATACATGTTTTTCTTATTCCATGAAAAAAGTGTCATAGAAAACGAATCTGCAATTGGTTTTTCCCAATTCGACTTATTTAAGGAGAAAATCAGCATTTTATACTGAAATTTCACTTCCGTTGAAAACAATAGAGAGAGGTGGTGACGTAAGTGGTGGAACTAAAATATTGCGCAACACGGACCTCACAGTAGCATTGGTATGGCAGTTCGTTCAAGTAGCAGTAGTTCGGACGATGTTTTGTCAGAGGGAAGCGACTCGAATGCCTTAATCTTATATGACAGCGATGGGGATAACTCAGAACCTTTAGGAGAGTCTGGGCCACGTCCTTATAAATATGAGCCGCGTATTGTTCACCGAAATGATCCGCACGAAAACAGCTCAGAACCGATTGACAGCGATGCCGATCGTCTCGGAAACACAGACTGGTATTTAATTCATTGTGTAATTTATTTGTTTTTGGTATGAAAACTTAATAAAGCAAGTTTCCAATCTAAAAGAATGCAACAGAAGTTTTTTAACATGAGCCTCCGTGGGTGTTTTATATAAAATTGTCAAAGGTGTGAGTGTGGAACTTGTCAGCCAATGCCGACAACACATAAAGGTGTTTGTTGTGCGCAAATCGGGCAAGTGTGGCAAAAAGTGGAGGAACAAAGGCCTGAAACCCAAATGAGTTGTATTACTGAGCATCCAGGTTTTCAGTAAACCTGCCTCGATGTCTGGGTGCTGGAGACGGCCTATTACGCGTACAGGCAGCAATACGGCGCAGATAATGACACCCAAAACGAGTAAGTGAAGTGTTTTACTTTTATCTATTTTTGAGATCGATTTGCTGGAGTTGTTTGTGCTATTGATTAAATAACACAGTGCTAGAGCTAGTTTTTTTTCCACTCTCCTGGTAGGAAATTTCGCTACATTGCCTACAGACAGCTTGTTCGCTGGTGCTGGGGTTATCTCGGCAGAAATGTCAGGGTCACTCTGCCATCTTATGCGGTAAATAAAATCCGAAGCACTTTTCCAGTTGATTTTGGAACTTCTTACACTGGATTGAAACCGCCAAACATTTGACAGAAACAAAAGGTACATGTAAATGCGATCATAATTATTCATGTCTTACAGCACAAGCGGTTGTGTCTGTTCGATAGCAGATATTTATATATTGCTTTCCTTCATCTCCGAAGTATTATTATTGATAAGCAAGTTGTAACGTGCATGGAAATTTGTGAGTGTGGCCTGTATAATTATCGAACCTGTTCGTGTTTGCTTCGATTGGAAATACAAAGATAGTTTCGCAAGCTCAACTCTGGATGTTTTGATTCTTTTCAAAGTGAAAAATATTTTCCTAATGACCTCTGATAACAACTTCATCGCTGTGCAAACCGTGACACAAATTCTTTAACTGCTGTTTCTTTGCAGGGTTTCTCGAAGGAATCAGCAAGCAGAGCTGGCATAGATTCTCCCATATCCTGTATAGAATTTTTTAATGACCCCTGGTTCTCTTCATAGTCGCGTAACAACATTTCAATTGGAGTCTCAGTATAGCCTTGAAAGAACAATTATTCATGAGTTATGATAATTGTTTGTCTTGTTGGGTTGTAAAATTAAATGGTACATACACAACTTACCGCGAAATTACTGACTAGTTCCGAGGAATTGTAAAGAATAACTAGAACTAGAACTGACGAGGACAGAGCTAAAAGAGAAGTTGAAACAAGGAAACAAACAAACGAAAAATTTAGTACTATTAGTTCTGCTAAATAGTAAGAGGAAGCAGTGGTATATCATAAGTAGCAGATATCTTTTCCTTACGGACTGAGTACTCTCCTTTTTTAAACTTTGGGAACTTAATTGTGTAGCAGGGTCTTCCATCTTTTGTGACTGCTTGTAAACGATCACTGTTTTCATTGTAGTGAAGGGCAGCCAATAAAAGTCTGTATATTGTAAGTCAAAGAAGGATGTTTTGTCCATTGTTACATTTGGAAATGTGAAAAGTTATAGCAAAGGATAGATTTATCATGCTGTACAATTTTTTCATCCCTTTACCCGGCATACATAGCTAAGAATGCAAAAGCAGTATGTTTGGGTGCAAATATTATGTCAAGACTGTGAAGTGCCTCAAGAGAAGAAGTCTGATAGAGAGGTGACACCATCTTGATATCTTTCAACAGGGACTTGAATAAAAGGATGTCAGTTCATTTCTCACAAACCTTCGATGCTGAAAAACAAATACAAAGCTAAACAACAATTGCCATCATGAAAAACTCACAAAAGCATCAGTTTTGTAAATTTGTTGACATGTAACCTTACATGGCTGAAGCCACTCCTTGTCTCGATCATCATCATCTAGATCACCATGGGCACATTTTCGATACAATTCGCTATGCCCATCACGAATATCTTGAATGTGGTTAATAACCGACTTCCGCATAGCCTCTAGCATATCTTCATCCCCTTCTGGGGCAGTTGCAGCCATCCAGTATAGATGATTTATGATAGACTTCCTCCACAGTCCAGCATTTTCGCAATCTTTCTGCTTTGCAAGTGCATCAACTTTTTTACCAGTTCCTTTGATCAAAGAAAACAGTTTGTCCACCACGAGGAATGTTTACTCAAAACTGCCAAAAGGTGCAAATAATATAATTTTTCTTCAGTGATATACATTTATGCCAGTAATTATATTATGAACGGTTCACAGACTAATGTCATTTAACTTGCCTTTAGCAATGTGCCAGATGTCAAAATAATGTCTGGTTCCTTTAGGTGCCATATTCCTTCTTATGTAGGCTGCATTTTGGCGATTTCTGTCAGTTATGATAACACCCAGGTCAAGGTTGTTCTCTGTCAGAAATGTCTCCATACAAAGAAGGCCCTCATGCTCAAATCAGGAGCTGTTTGGTACCTCATTGGACTTTTGAAAAGTTAAGACTTGTTTTAGTCTTAAATATTAAACACTCAGTTTACTGATAAAATAGCAAAGCTAATGGCCCTTAGATAGATGACTTACTTGAACGAGCTGAACATCCAACACTTTGCTGATCCTTTGTTCAATGACTGTAAATGCCCCATACTTAGCACTGTGACCTGGGCTGTCAGATCTACCATCCCCAGAAAGAACAACACCACCTTCTAAATCGGACAGTCTTTCTACCAATTTCTCCTGCTCTTACTTCCACGTTTTTATGACAACAGGTACAAGGTAGTTCCTCTGATGTTTGTGGTATGTCTGGCGGCTAAAACACTGTACCCTCAGAATTTTCAGCATTCTTAGGGTTTGGGAGATCATACTACCAGAGTAAAGAATAGCAGTGGATAGCAACAGATTTCCAGCCGGTATCTTTTTTATGCACGGTTGGCTTCTCCACACGCGCGCATAACTGCAGCTTAGACATTTTTGGGTGACATTGATTAGAGTGCCTAGCACATTAGATACCTCAGCTGTAGAGGGCTCAGTACACAGAGGGCAGAAGTCAAAGAGTTGCATCAAACAGGAAAAAAATACGATGAACTTGCTCTCACTTTGTGGGTCCTCTGAACCTTTTTTTCCTGTGAGGTGTCCTATAACAAAATGTAAAGTAAGCAGGACTTAAAATAAAATTAAAAAATAGAAAACTAAAGACAGGATCTCTTTCTACCTCGAAAGATTTTCTTCAAAGTTGTTTGGTTTTTTTCTTCCTTCTCTACTTCTTCCTCTACCAAGTCTTCAGCAGGAATTAAATATTTTGGAATACAGTCCAGGTCTTCCTGATTATCGTCGCTGTGACCCCCAACACTCTTTACAGGACTACACAGAGGCGTAGAGCATGTGGGTACAAATGGTGTGTTCGTGATCTCACATTGGACCTCGGTCTCAGTTGTAACAAGTTCCACTTGTGTACCTGTGTAATAAAAGAAGCCATCACGCTAAATAACGCGGACGGGTTTCAAAGCGCAGAAAATACGAAGATTTCTTTTGACTGGTTTTTGTCTCACCCACACTCGCCGTAGATGTTCGTGGAATATTTAACCAACTAAATTCCAGATCGCATTGTATACCTACATC